AAATCACTCCAAAAACAAAATCCTTTTTCTCCTTTGTAACATCTTTCGTGTATAGGCAGACATGTATACAAAAGAATTAAATTATGACCTAAATTGATTGCAGTAGTAGTGAGGTGAGTAAATTGACTGTGTCTGTCCCGCCAAGATCAAAGCACTAGCTGCCAGTGCGCTTTTGTGAAACTTGAATTAAGGAAAAGTAAAGATTTATTGTTGTTGTAGTTGTTGTTGTGTCAATTGAACAAACATGACACCCTCTCTTATTCTTAAGAATTATCAAAGCTGTTTCGAGCCAGACCCAAGTGATAAGAGCTTTGATGGAAGCCAGCCGTACGAGATTCTAAACTCATCCGGGATATCCCAGTTGGTGTTTCTTGGTTCTGGATTGTTTCGATTCCAACTCAGAGTTGTTGGTGCTCATTTGAGGTCAGTGATAATTCTAGCTAGAAAAAAAGGCTTGTACAAGTTTAAGGGATTTTAGAGCTTGTTCCAGCCTCTTAGTTCCGGACGAGCGCAAATTAAAGCAAGCGAGCGCGCGAGGAAATCTCTGCGAAGAATGTGGAAAGACATAGCCTGCGTTGTAGCTTGCGGGATTTATCGCGCGCGACGGCTTCATTCCTTAGGCGCTTTTGATTAGGCTAAAAAGCCGTGATAACCATGGGGACGATTTAAGTGCTGTCCCTCTCCAAAATCCCTCCTAGCACTAACAACCCACCTGCAGGCTTGGAGAGAAGCTGTTCGCTAACTAAAACGTGGAGCAGCCTAGAGGTTTACCTGCCTTTTAGTTGTCCCAAGTGTCGCTTGGGATTGAGCCCATGGCCTTACCAACCAGGGACGGCGAGGCTGCCTTTAAGCCATTAAGCCCAGACTTAACAAGGAATTTGGTTCAAAATGAGCTTATGTAATGGCATTTTAACAGGGTGTCAAGTTGCACCTACACTACAAGAACCAATGTCTGTCGAGCTAACGGGCATGCAAAATTGGCACACAATTCACTAGGAAAATAATGTCGCTAGCACCTTCTTGGTTTTTCCAGCAGATACATCTTGGGATTCCCGTTTGTTTACTCTCATTACCTGCTGGGATCATATACGTTCCAAACCCATTATTCTGGAGTATCTGCTCTCAGATAATAGCTAGTAAACAGTTTTCTCCTTTTTTGATTTCTTTTTTGTTTTTGTTTTTTTAATTCTGGAGACTAACTTTGTAGACCTGATCACCACTTAACAAATACTAAGTACCTTGAAAAATGCCTTAAAATGCCCTTTTCACAATTTGGGCTTAAAAGGAAAAAATAGGTGGCTACGCCCTTACCAACTGAGCTAAAACCTCAGGCGGCGGTACCTACAGCATAGCTGTGCGTTCTTTATCGTTACCGATAAGTGCCTTTTTTCTCTGATGTCCTTCTTTTCTTGTCATTTATATCCTTGCAGTTTTTGTGAACTTAGCACGCGGTTTTCCGTTGAAGTAACAAGCACTGATGAAGCGAAGGAATTCTTGCCGCAGCTTGTGTCTGTTTTAGTGGTGACTCTTAGTAGCACTGTTCTACTGTACATCAGCTTTGCTCATTATACTAAAAAGACACTGCATCGACATCAGGAAGATGAGGAAGAACAACAAAGGTTGCAGGAACTCAAGTAAGAACAAAGTTTGAACCATATTTTTCCTTAGCCTGCTGTGCCAAGCATTCAGATAATATAGAGGCCGAGAAAACAAGCCATAGAAACATAAGACGTACGCGATCTCCTCCCTCCCCAACCCCCGGGAACGTCAGTTTTCGCATGAGGTTTCACAATCCCTGCACATTACTATCGTGGAGCCTGGAACAGGCGAATTTTTCTTCGACTAAATGATGTGCTTCAACTTTCTTTCATCAGTTTTAAGATATTTCCTCAAGTGCCAGTCTTCGCTCGACTTCGCAGTGAGGGATTTCTACTCTCGTACAGCACGCTGCTGTGACATCTTAGACACTTTCTCTATTTTCCTTGCACGCAAAAGGAAAAAATCCTTCTTTATGGGACATGGAGAGGCGTGAATTCGAATTCCAGTTATATTCTGGAAGCTCCCTGTTACAAGAAGCTTTCCTTTCAGGCGGGGTCTGTGGGTTTGGGGAGTGGGAAAGGCTGCGGACGAGAGGCATGTCGACAGGTCCTAAAGGTGATGTTACACGGGACGATTTGCGACGACGATTTTTAGCGCAACACAGCGCTAGCGTTGCAATGTTGGAACTGTGTTGCAACAATTCGAATTAACATCGCAACAATGTTGCAACGCTGTGTTGCGCTAAAAATCGTCGTTCAGAATCGTCTCGTGTAACATTACCTTAAGGTGATAAATCTATTAAATACATATACTCAATTTTACTTGTGTTGTGTCGCCACCTCACACAGTACCTCCTAGTTCACACTTAGAATCGCCAGTTTCGCTTGGCAAATTCCTAGTTTTGAATAGATTAAGTTCACCGCTCACTATGCCCGTTACCCTCTTACACATGTCTTGTGTTGCAGGAGCCTATTTTCCTCCTATCAGCAAGGAGCAGATGATGAAGGCCAGGCTCATCGACGCTCCACAGGTCACAATGTTCGCCGCTTTACAGGAACAGCAATGCTCATGACCAATCGGCTGCCAGAGGAATGCCTGGTAGAGGAATCCCTCCAAGCGGCAGACATAGTCATGAACAGCTTACATACACAACCACCTCCACCGAGTGACCTCGACTGATCTACCACCTCCCCCTTCCCTTTATCCCTACCCCACCCCCTCTTACCGTTGTCGCATCTTACTGTTTTGAACACAGGTTACGTTTCGATAAGCCATAATGTAGCTGCGGCGAAGTTTAAAACTGCCACAAATTTAGCTTTTCTAACCAGTGTCATTTGCCAAAAAAAAAACCTAAATCGTTAATGCTGTTTGTGTATCACTTTTAATCAACTTAGGAGATCTTCATGCATTGTAACTTCATATATTAAACGTCTTTAAATCTTCTTGTTGGCTACCTGAGTTAGTTTTTCCTTCCTTATAATTTAAAATTAATCGCGCTTGTCACGTCAAGTGAAAACTTTTATGTTCTTTTTGATCACCAAAAAAGCCCAATGATTGTGTTAGAAATTTCAATTTACATTGAGCAGTGTTACATTACGATATTTGATAAGAAAGTTCAATATTCTGGTAAGAGATGTAAAAACTGAAGAAGAAATGGAACAGGTTTTATACCTACCGCAAACAACAGAGACCTTTAGATGACTTAGATTCGCAGACGACACGAGGACGAGACTAGTTTAACGTTTTCCCGCGTTTTCTAAAAAAGCCAGGTCAGAAAGTTTCATTTTTACATTTTTTTTTCACCAGAAAATTTAACCGTGAGGTAACACGGTTATTATTATTGAAGGACGTTAAGCCCTTTCCCCATGACAAACTAAAACTTCTAACATTTGATAACTTGTTTCCACACTCACACATTTTCGCTAAAACCAGGAGCATGTGGTAAACAAAACGTCACCAAAAAAGTGTATTCGCATTGTTTCAAACTTCAGTGCCATTATTACATCTCGTTCAGTTTGTCAAATGTTGACGGATTTTTCTAGAATTAAGTTTTAAAGGTCTTATTCTAAGTTTGAAAAAGAAAATGAGACTTAAGTTCACGTTCCACATAAAACGTGAAAACAGGAAGTTTCACGTCGTAGCCGTGCAACGACCGGAAGGATAGGTACAAAAAAGTGTGATGCACGCGCAAAGTTGTTGTTTTGTCAATCCAAACCTATTGCTTTTTTGCCGTTCTCCTTGCCGTTGCCGTCGTCGTTGCTTAAGCTCCCTGTCACGCGTGCGCACTACTTATTATTACAAAAATCTCGTCCTCGTGGTCGACCTCGTCTTAGGGGCCGACCATTTAACTCTTGAGGGGAGGGGTGGGTGATTTCTGGTCTTTTTCGCATTTTTTTCCTATAAGCTTTCTATTACATTTGTGCTGCATGCAATTTTTTCTTCCGACAAGCACTTGCAGGAAATTTTTTTTCAAAATCACCCCCCTCCCCCTCCCTCAAGAGTTAAATGGTCGGCCCCTTAGAATCTACTAAGGTCTCTATATTGGTAAAAATAGAAAGCCTCTCGAAACCGTGAACGGTGATGAAAGAGAAAAGACTACAAAATCTGTGAATTACTGTTCATGTTTTTTTAGTCCAGTTATTTGTTCACTTTTCTTCCACAGTTCAGTTGCCACCTGTTCATCTTTTGCTAAAGCACTGCACTCTGTCATCTTACAGTCTTTGAAGTATTTTCCAGTCACATCTTTTAGTTCCTCGGCCACTGCACAGTACACAGAGGTCTGGGCTCCAGAATTTGTTGATTTGAAAAAGAAATAGCTCACAATCCAGAGAATTGGCTGAAAAATCCACGTCCTTGCAATGCGGAAGTGTCTCATTATTTCGGTGTCAACAACTCCTGGGTGAAGGGCATTCACGGTTACCCCTGTACCTGATGATGATGAGATAAAATAGGATAATCGCCTTTTTTATAGCAGACTTTAAAAATAGGGTTCTGCTTGCACATAGTGAACCATGTTGCACTTGTAGAATAGTAAGGTTGTTGAATGTCATGGATTAACTTGCCAGCGCACTGTATGGGGTAGTTAGTGTTCACTTAACAGCTATCACGTTTTAACCCAATCGCCCTCAAGAAATTTTGCCCAAAAACACAGTTTAAAGCTGTTTTTGTTCACTATCGGGCAGGAAAAAAAAGGTGGGGAGGGGGGGAGGGGGGGGAGATGCTGCCCAGTAACGCGTTCACCAGTTGCGTGAGCACTGCACTTTCTTCTGTTTCTATTGCTTATTTCCAGTTTCCGAAGTTTGGGCATACACAGATCAAGGGAAAATTTCGACTTCTACCTTTCGGTTTCTCTCTTCCCTGCCTCTTTTGTCTTTCTAACTGTTTTTTTTTTTCCTTTTTTCTAGGCATTTACTAGACCAAGAGACTATAAAGGGGACAGAGAGGCCATCCCCCATATACACCCTATTCCATAGGTAATTCGTCTCGAGTTATTTTTAGAATCGGGATGAAGTTACCTCGCGCGAGGCGTGGATGTTTCGTGGAGGTTTCGCATGACCAAACGCCGTGCAAAACATGTCGGGCGAGAGGCAATGAAAGCGTAAAAAGATCGAGAGCATTCCTGAATATTGAAGCGAAATGAGTCGGCGCTCACCTGGGAAAAAGGAATCGCTGGACTCTTTGACAACCCGTGAAATCAGTTTAACTCGAAGTTGTCGTAACCTCAGTGCTTTAATAAAATGAGAAATTTCGCCGGTCTATTGAAACCGGTCGTTTGTACAATTTAGGGAGTTTAAGATCCAACGACGCGGACGACAACTAGAACGTCAAAAAAACAATAGGTTTAATTAGCAAAACAACAACTTCGCACGTGCAACACACTTTTTTGTTCATTTCTTTCCCGTTTTTGCACGACTACGACGTGAAAATGCCTAATTTCGCGTTTTATGGAGGACGTAAATAAGCAACGACGAAATTTTATTTCTCTTTCTGAGCTTGAATATGGTCCCTTGAAATTCAGCTTTAGGAGGGTTCGCCTACAATTGACAAAGTAAGTGGGTAGGAATAATCGCTATAAAGACTGAAAAAAATAAACATCAAACCAGAAATTGCTCTCTTCAAACTGTAAATTATAAATGATCCTGAGAGAATATTCAGTGTGTTAAGGATTTCCCTGCTCTACTGTTAGCTCTATACAAGAGAGGAAGGGCGATTCTTTTTTAATTTCGGTTTCGCTGACACAGCTTTCGCAGAAATCTCGCTGTAGTCGTTTTCGTCGACAAAAGGAATAGCAAAATCGCTCTCCGCGTCTTCCCCCATTTTGTTCCGCGTCAATTCGTGGAGGACGCGTGGCTCTAGCGTGGGTCGTCCACGCGGAATACATTCGCGCTATGTGATTGGCTGTTGTCCAATCCCCCTTGGGTTCTGCGGTTCTAAAAATAACTCGAGACGAATTACCTATGGAATAGGGTGTATATGGGGGATGGCCTCTCTGTCCCCTTTATAGTCTCTTGACTAGACTTAATTCTGGGGGAAATCTTTAGGAACAAGATTTTTACTTCATTTTTGGATCAACTTTAAGTGGTTTTGTGCATTATTCTCTGGCTTGTTTTGCAAATCATGTTCATTCTGTTAGGAGGTGGGACGTGGTTAGATGTCAAAACTGCTGACATCACAGGATCCACAAGGGGGGGCAGTTTAGGATGGGCTAAACAGGTTCAATAGCTCAATAATATTAATCATTTCTTGGTGGCTTACAACTAGTTTATACAAATATAACCTGCCTATTTACCTTGTAATCTCTTGCTTAACTCCAATGTGAAAAGAAGCTGGCACAGTTTGCTGATGTTATAGTCATGGAAATATCCAGGATGCCCTTCCTTGGTTTGAGAGAGGACTTTATCAACATCAATTTGCGATGACACCTGTGTGTGTTGCACAGAGGATACATTTATTATGCGGCTGGGTGAACTAACCTTCAGTTTATTCAACAAGAGGTTTGTCAGCAGAAAATGACCCAGATAGTTTACTTGAATAGTATTATCAAACCCATCAACTGTTGACGTGAAAGGCCCCAGGTAACCAGCATTGTTAATCAAAACGTCAACTCTTTCTTCTTGCTGATTAATTTCTTCTGCAAAATCTCGAACAGACTGGAATGAAGACAAGTCCAGCTTTTTCACTTCTATGTTTCTATTTCCAGTGTTTTCTATAATGTCAGCGGCAGCTTGTAATCCCTTTGTGATGTTTCGACAGGCTAGGATAACCCTTGCTTTTCTCCATGCCAATATCCGAGCTGTTTCCTTTCCAATACCAGTGTTGCCTCCGGTTATCACTACAGTTTTGCCTAAGGGTGAAATTATTAAAAAACAAGTTTAACATGACAAAAAAAGGACTTTTACTTTACAACATTATCAGCAACATGAGATACATATTGTGGCACATCCAAATTGTGGTTCTTTTTGTCCACCACTGGGGTTCAAATCAGCCATAAAACTGGAATTTGGAAACATTGGTTTCTGACAAGAAGGAAAAACCAGAGTACCCGGAGATCTTGGATCTAAGGTGAGAACCAACATACCCACATAATAACTGTTGCCTGTCAAATAGACTTGAACGGCCATCACTATCACGTGGCACCCTAGCACCCTCCTGAAGGAGGAAAAAAATGACAGTGATCTTTTTGTTTCCTTTTTGCAAGTTTTATGTTTCAAACTTGAAACAAGTTCAAGTTTCAATTTCAGCTGAGTTTCTTGATTGCCACATAACAAAAAAAATACAGTCCAACTTCCACTAACAGCTAGCTCTCCACGACTGCCACGTCTCTACAATGGCCACTCCTTTTGTCCCGGTGGACAGTCTACACATTGACTCTTGTTTAAACCTCTCTACAACGTCAACGGCCACTAATAATGTCCCAAATTGCCAAAATAACCTCTCGACAATGGCCAGTTTTTTCAGCGACTAAAGGATGGTCATGAAATTTGATCTGTATGGTGCATTGATGATTAATCGTGGCAATCACATTTCAGTCGATTTTCCATTTATCCTGCTGCAGTAAGCATATTTTAAACATTGTCCATGATACTTATACTCAATGTTGTGAACCTTGCTTGTTTTGTCACATTAACATTTTGATTCAAAACGTTATTAAAGTTTTTTGAGTATTTTATCTCTATATTATTATATATGATTGGATTACCATTATGAGATGCAGTAAGCATAAACTTAGCACAATAAGCATGTTGTACTCCCTAAAAAAATTGTTAATGACAACCTCTCCACCATGGCTACTTCCTTCTGTCCCCAAGGTGGCTGTTGTGGAGAGGTTTGACCCCTAGTGGGGGGGGGGGGGACTCCGCATATGAAATGGTGGGGATGCTTGTCGTCTCGCTTAGGGGTGTAAATTTTGGATTTTGGTCTCACTTAGGGTGTTCTGGGCAAAACACCATCATATTTAGCCGTGAAGGTCTCGTTTAGGGTTGCACGTGAAAAAATATATAGAGGATATTACACGGTGGCGAGAAGATATGAATTTTATGTTCGAGTGGCAAGAACAATATCTCACGAGTGAGCGAAGCGAACGAGTGAGATATTGTTCTTGCCACGAGAACATAAAATTCATATCTTCTCGCCACCGTGTAATGTTCTTTTTATTTTATGGAGAAACCAATTCAACAAAAGCAAAAGGCGGGAATCGTGACGTCATTGAACGATACGACACTCACAAAGGTGACATACGGAAAATACGCCACTTGGGTCCCGGATGAAGTGGCGTATGGAATCTACGAGTGGTTTAGTTCCCAGTAAAACATTCTCCTCCATATAATAAAAAAATATATATTTGATATGTATATTTTTTTCGTCTCTTTTAGGGGTCAAAAAATGCTTGGGCCACGCCTAGATCGGTCTTCTCTAGGGGTTTAATTTAAAATTTCCGACGAGCATCCCCACCCCTTTTCTTATGGGGAGTTCCCCCCCCCCCCGGGAGGGTTTGACTGTATTAAACTTAATAAAACTGACACATGAACAGGGATTAGAAAAATGTGGAAGTGAGCTGCGGGGGTTATGTGGAGTTTATGTACCTAATCTCATACAAAAGACAAGGCGTAAAATTTATTAATTTATCTTAAATCTACCAAACAAAAATGGAAACAAACAAAAAAATAAACTTAGTGGTAGGAGGGCTCTGTAGTAAAGTACAGCGAAACCTGTATGTAGCAAGCGGCCCTGTATGTAGCAGTCACCCCGTATATTATGGTCACTGGACAATTTCCCAAAATTTTCAGTTGAATTTTATTTTCTGCAAAGTTGACCTGTATATAGCGGTCACCCTGTATAATTATTAATATGGTCAACACGGACAACTTCCCAAAATTTTCAGTTGTCTTATATTTTCTGCAGAGTTGATCTGTATATAGCGGCCCTGTATGTAGTGGTCACCCTGTATATTACGGTCACGAGACAACTTCCCAAAATTTTCAGTTTCTTTTTATTTTCCACTGAAAAGTTGACCTGTATATACATGTAGCAGTCACCCTGTATTATAACAGTCACCTTGTCATTTCCCAAGAGTGACCATTGTACACAGGTTTGACTGTGTACAACACCACTTGCAGAAAGGTACCTGTTAGTTTGGCAGAACTTGGACATGAAGGTCCTTCAAAGTATATCCTGATGACAACTCCCACCACTACTATGATTGGGATACTAAAAAGAATCAGAAAGCTACCATGCGTTTCTAGCAAAGCCTGTCTAGAGAGCTCGTAAACATTAGCTGCAAGAAAAAAAAAAATATTACCACATTTACAGCCAAGATATATGTCCAGGGCATAGATTCTCCGTGCTACAATAGTTTTACAACAGCAAAATAACGTCTGTCACTTAAAATAAAATGAATTTACAGAGTGGATATTTATAAACAAATTCAGATAAATTATCCAAGTCCAAAATTTTTGTTCCTCTCCACAGATATCATGTATTTACAGTAAACCCAGGGTGCATACCTTGAGAACACTTGCCACAGCTTACTTTGCAGTGCTTGGACATCCACTTGACATTTTTCTTGCATTCACCCCTCGCTGCCCAGTGACCACATTTGGGATGGTGATCCTCACATGGTACTGATCCTGACAAAACAATGAATAATGAATATTTACTTGTAAGCAGTTTAGCAGAAAGCCACCCCTCTCTACCCCCACCCCTTCCCACTCAGTTTAAATTGAGCTCCCACTGCTAGATTTAACTACAACAATAAGATTTTAGTTTCAGTATGTTTTTTAAACATTTTCCACTGATGGTTGCCATGGTTACATGGTGAGACTGTGTTCTTCCTGCACCTGCTACAGCATTGTGCATTGTTTGTGAGTTTTCCTGATCCTTCAAACTCTCAGGCACAAATCTAGGACAAAAATATATTTTCATAAGAGCTAAGAGATCACATTGATCATGAGTTTATTAGATAATTTCACTGTTTCCATGTTCAAAAATTTCATATTCAATAAAAGATTAATGCAAACAGCAACAAAGGACTCTACTGTAAAACAATAACATTAGTACCTGGTATAAAATTAATAATACATCAACATTTCTCAGAATGGGGCAAATACCACACGCTTATATAGCAAGAAAATTGACAGAACTCGACAAGGCGTTCTAACATATAGAATTAATTCGTTTCGTGTCCACGCAGTTCGAACACTTGCATTACAGTCTTTTGGCGTTTTCTTGAAAGTTCTTAAAACTGTCAAAGCTTACAATAATTCATCGAGGTCTAGGATCGATGCATACATGGCAGGTGCAACTGATAAAACATCTCAAGTTTGAAAATACAGATTAGAAGTAGATCACAAAACTTTAGGAAACAGTAATACCACTTAAAAAGGAAAGATTAATTAACTAAAAAGAAATTGGTATTACTAGAGAAGTATTGTATTTCAAAACAGTACAAAGTTTTTAGTAAAGAAGGTTTAAAATTAAGCTTATAAAGCTTAGAACGTGTAATTGGCACTTCGTGACTTGACAGTGCGCGTTTAAGGTCTAGATAAAATTTTAGGCTTCAATCTCAATGAAGGATAAATTTGATAGTATCAAAATATGTTAAAGGTACTAACCTGTTGCATAACTGAAAGCAAGTAAGAGAAACAAAAACGGAACGACAATCTTCATCCACCAAGACGCCATAATTTATTGAGGATGTGAAGTCCGAGTGGAGACTGGAAAAAAATTGGCGATTTTGGCGTGACATGGAGAAATTTTCGTGACTGAGGCGCACGTTCCCCGTCCCCAGAGACGCAGGTGAAAGTTTACTTAACAGCCACAAGTTGCTCGGCAATTTTTTAGCCTGCGTGGTTGGCGGGTTTTTTGGTGTGTTTTTCTTTTTGTAGTTCGCAAAGTAAGAGATACAACCGCGCGAAAACTGAACCGAGGACGAAAAAGAAACCGATGGCGAGGGGCAAAGGCAATGAGCTCCCCTCGCCCCCTCCCTCATTGTTTTCTGTTTCGACCTCAGTTCAGCATTCGCGCCGCTCTAACTCTAGATCGTTTGCGAACCACAAAAAAACACCGAAAAAACCGCCAGCTTCGCAGGTGAGCAACTTTTTGGCAACTTTAGCTATTTGGAGCAACTTTCTGGCAACTTTTGATGTTGGGGCCAACTTGATTAAATTTTTGGCAACTTGTGGGAATTACAAAGTCCTGTTATACTGGTTAAGCCTGGTAAATCATCCTTAAAAGAAAATTTCTCACCCCTCACTTACTCAACCCTTACCCCACAACCGGGGACCTGCTTGGTCACCCCATGGGGGGGTGGGGGGGGTTGGGGTTGAGGCAAAGTTCAGGCGAAGCTAAATCAATCGCTGATGCAAGTAATTTTCAATTTATTGGTATGGTATCTTGAAGCCATTCACACTGATCAAAAACAACTAGTTAAGTGCAATTGAAGCAAAATGCATCCGTCATTTTAATAAAAAAAATGTATGTCATAGATTTTACAACCTAGCATATTATTACAGGCCAATTTACTATTACAAAAGTGAGGAACTTTAAACACAGGTAGAGAAAAAAAGTCATTTTTCTCAACAAAAAAAATTTGCACTGAATTTCTAGAGCTATTAATGTGCATTTGTAATTAACTTTAATTTACAGTTCTTAAAGCACAAAAAAGAAAACAAATAACTACAGAATTGCTGCAGGTAGGTCAGGAAATACTTCCTCTATCTAGAAAACTAACTCATGATAAATAAAATATAAAATAGTCATTTGAAAAATAATCAAATAATCACAAGGAAATATTCTTGCCACCACATGTAAGACAATACTTTTTTTGTGTTAAAGCTGGTATCAAGTTTTAATGTTTCCAGCTCTCTCCTGTTATCCTCTCACTTGCTTCCCAAAGCTTCTTCGCCAAGCCAGGATCTTTTGCAACTTTACTACACTCTTTGGCTTTGCAGTCGCTATAGTAAAGACCCGAGACACCAGCCAACTCTTCTGCAACTGAACAGTATATTGTAGTTTGTGCTCCTTGCTTGCAATTCTTAAAGAACAAGAATGTTAGAAACTGCCAAAGCTGTTTGACAAGGGGCTTACGTAACAACTTCCAGTTACGCCAAATATCAGACTTGATAGCACCAGGATGCAGAGCATAAACAGTTACGCCAGTACCTGCAATGAAAATTGAACAAGTACAATTTTTTCAGAAGATGCACTTTTTTTTTTGCCAACTCACAAACAGTAATGTATGGAACATCAACCACAAGAATTTTAATCATTGTACCCAAAACATTAAGATATTAAAGACCATTTTACAAGTTATAATATTAATTACATGTAGTTACCAGTAATTAAAGGGGTACCAAGTTCATGAAATACCCAAAACCTAAAAATACCTAAAAAATGCCAGGAAGCCTATAGATTCAGTATTAGATAATTTAAATAAAATATTTAAGACAAGGGGAGGTACAACATGGCAACACAGGAATGTATATGTTGTAGTTATTTTTTTATCTCAGGTTATTTTATTTTTCCTTTGTTTCAATAATTTCATTAGCATACATTACCATACCCAAAAACAAAAGAAAAACGCAAATTAACTGCAACATACACACAAACACACACGTTAGTAGAGAGAAGCAAAAACCAAAATGATCACAACTGCATTAGTAAGCTAATAGAGATTATTATTACTGTTATCAAGAATAATTTTGTTATCACTTTATGTATCATAATAACCAGTATATTCCATAAGTGTTTTTTATTGGTCTAGATTAGATCATAACATCACTGCAGATAACATATTGCCAATGACAACAATGGCCTGTAATTGTACGAAAATTAAAAAGTTGTTTTGATGCGAAAGGGAAATTGCTCTGCTTGTTGCCTCTCTTTAGGACACACCAGATGTTGTAAGTAATTACAAAACAAAACAACTATACCCAATGAAAGAAATGGCTTAATAAACACTGAATTCTGCAAACCTGTCAATCTCTGACTTAGTTCCCTTGTAAACACAACCTGTGCAAGTTTGGACTCTCCGTATCGTTTGAATGCCTCATACTTTTCCTTCGAAAGTTTAAAGTCATCTAAAGGTATAGTCTTTGGCCCAGTATGACCTATCGATGACACATTCACAATGCGACTGGGGGCAGACTTCTTTAACTTGTCCAACAGCAGCATGGTCAGAAGGAAATGGCTGAGGTAGTTCACTTGAAATACACTCTCCCATCCATCCTTAGTTAGCCGGTATGACCCCCCTAGACCAGCATTGTGAACAAGAATGTCAAGTCTCTCTTCTGTTTCATTGATGACCCTTGCAAAGGCTCTCACAGACTCAAACGAGGCCAGGTCAAGAACCCTGATGACAACTTTATCACTTCCAGTCTCGGAAATGATGTCCTTAGCAGCGTTAGAGGCCTTCTCCTCATCTCGGCAAGCCAAGATAACCCTAGCTCCTCTCTTGGCAAAATCCAGTGCAGTCTCCTTTCCTATTCCAGTGTTTGAACCTGTGACTATAGCAGTCTTCCCTAAAATAGCAAAGAGCAATGTGTTAAAGGGACAGGTTCACGGTTATAAGCGCATGCTCGCATGAATCAAATTACTTTTTTCCAATTTATTATTAATTCTATCAGTTAATAATCGCACTCACATGTATCTCAGTGATCTCAGAGTGTATTTCAAAGTAGAGGTGTCTTTTCAAAAAAACCTGAAGTAGGATGGAGGAGTACTAAAATCACTAGCCTGCGTAGAAAGTGGTTACGCGCGAGTTCGTCGAGAAAACTGGAACAAGAGCAAAAAAAGGAATGAAGATTTCGAGCTATAACTCGACTGGATACGCTTGCTACGCAGGCTATAAAATCACAAAAAAATAAGTGGATTATGCCAACACTACCAATGTTAAATTTATTGCTGACCCAAAGGTTTTATTCCTTGGTTGATTAATTTACAGCTATTTGCAAATATTCAAGTTGATCAAATGCAAGTGACCGCCAGGGGAGTGCTCAGATTGGCTCTTTGACAACATTATGACATATTGCTTGCATAGACAATACAGCATGTCCCAGCAGAAAAACAGCATTTTGATGAATGAGCTGATGCGCTAAACCATGAACCTGTTCCTTTAATCAAGTAATAAATAAGCCAAGGGTAAAAATGACATTTCAATCATGATGAAATGATGGATTAAATCTTAAAGTATTTACCAATGGAAAGAATCTTGGGGGGGGGTGCACTTGAACATGGGGGGGGGATTCTCCACCAAGTCAATGGAAAATGGCCAGACATGAAAATAATACAGAAATTGCAAAGTGGTCTAACCCTGAATTTTGAAGCCGCGCAAGATGGCGGGTGGAGAGTTAAACGCGTGGAGGGTTTAACAGTTCTATTTATTTAATTATTTAATTTGAATAGTTTTTTTTTATATAGTACCGTATATCCTCCACCCACTTGTAACTGCTCTGTGGTAGTAGCCAACTCGAAAGCTTGGCTCCTTTGGCTTCTACACACTCTTCCTTTTTTATGTTTAATTCAATGTATATTTAGCTCTGTTTTTTACTTCTTCCTTTTTTTTCCTTATTGTTGTATTGTAATTGAATAAGTGTGAATAAATGAACTTGAACTTGAACTTGGCACTTTTAGGAGTAGAAATCTGAGAAATTTTCTAGCTATTAATGAACCAGTCTCCCCCTGTTTTGAATGCTGAAAAATGGTCAAGTCTTTTTGCAGATCCCCATGCCACAGGGCAGGTATGTGCTGTCAGTGCCTTTTTATTAGAAAGATTTTGCATTATTATAACCCTACATTTTGTGGCCAATTTGCACACCTTCTGTTTTAGTATTTTATATGCTAGCTATTTTAATGCATTATAAGAAACTCTTTGTAGAGACACGCGATCAATAAACTATTGCCTTTTATTCTAATTTTTTATTTCTATACCTTTCATATCTCACGAATGTTAATGTCACTAACTTGAATATGTATGTATATAAAATTACAATGACTAATTACTAATTACTAATTAATTGCCAATTAATTTTAATACAAGAAACAAGAAGAAATTCAAATCAACATATGTAGTCCATTCTCCTTTGTACAAACTATAAAATTCTGTATATATTTTATTTTTCTTTTTTTAATACTATTAGATTTCTCTACAGTTACACAACAATTTTACAATATTAGATTGTTCTACAACTAGACTTTCCTCTTACTACTAATAGATTTTACTTTTTTTGTACACAAAATATTATTATTTTAAATCCTTATATTTTCCTAGGGTAGGCACCCCGCATGGGTCTGAGTGTCCCGTTCGTGCCCATCCCTTTTGGGCTTTAATTCTTTATGTTTGTATATTTTCAATTTTTTTTATATTATTTTTTATTTTTTCGATTTGATCTTGCCCAATAAAGCTAAAAAATATTAAATGATATACATACTTCATATCATTTTTATGCTTTTACACATTTCACCTGACATTTATTTTGTATACATGTGTATATGGTGCCACGTGGAATAATTTCTTGTCCCTGATGATGCCGTTGATCGGTGAAAGCTTGGATTGTAATTTTATTTTTTAATCAGTAGTTTAATAAGCCTCATTAGAGCAATATTTTTGTTTTTAACCATGTTGCTGAAGGACAACATGAATAGAAAATATTCCAACATTTTGCTGTTCACTCACCATCCAATCGAGCCTTGGACTTACAAACACCGCCACTGAAATACCATTTAATGAGAGCAACCAAGCAAATGATCACTCCTATGACAGCTATCAGTGTTGTGGTTGTACTTTGATAGGGAGAAGCATCATCTTTATGAAAAACAAAAATGGTGGAATTAGTAGTGGTAATAAGAATAATAAGTAGAGTATAAATATTCACACAGTAATTGGTTGGGTTATGTCATATTATATTTCAAAGTGTATATGACACAAATTTTTTAAGCCAGTTTTAATTTCTTAAATATATTTAACATAACTATTCGTAATTCAAACTCTTCAAAATCTTGCAAAACCTTTTATTTTTGCCTTCAAATCGAGCATTTTTGCCTCCAAATATGTCTGCCCTATTGCACTGCCAAATAAAATAATAATTATTGACAAATATGACGAAGGATCATTTGCAACAATGTAGAATAATTAACAAGATTGTGGCAAATACAAAGGATCAGAAGGATTGTTGTAGCCAACAATTCCCAAAGTATCATCAGAATTTTCATTTATTGGCTATACTCTTGTTACAGTCAGATACATCCCTAATTCCTCTTTGAAAACACAAAGTAATGACCAGAATCAGAAGCAAAGGCTGAGCAAATCAAGTGATGTCACATGACAGATCACCAGCCTTCCTTAAGATCCCAATCTATGAGACATTTCTGAAGGGAAAATGCAGTCTTTGGGTGGCCAAAATTTTAAACGTTTTTTTTTTGGGGGGGAAGACACATTTTTAAAGTACAGAATTAAGCTTAAATTAAACTTATCTAGTAACTATTAAAGGTCAGTGGTAAAAAAATTTATTGCATACATGACACAAAACGTGTTTGCTGATTTTAGTTGTTAGACACAGGACAGCAAGCTAATAACGGTAACAAGCTGATCAGAAAAAGTACCAGAATCCTGCCCCCTATCCACGAGCTACAGTGTATATGGACATGTGTGTGTGTGTGTGTGTGGGGGGGGGGAGGTTTAAAGATAATAATAAGGCCAAGAGAACATGAGGGCTCCTGTCTCTGCCCCACACCCCCCCCCCCCCAACTCTTATCTAAGGGTCTGGATGACCCCCCCCCCCGCCCCACCCCCCTTATCTCAAAGTCTGGATCCGGCACAGTTGGCATCTCTGAGGTAGTTTTGGGCAAGATTTCCGCACAGCCAAATACATTTCTTTTATAATGCAGAAATGTTTCGGCTCTACATTGTATGATTACTTGTTATTTGTGTGAAATAGTACACATGGGTTGCTAGGCAAAATAACTGTGATTAAGCAGACTGCCGGTATGATGTAACCAGTGAAATCGACTAGTCTTGAGTCCTGTATAAAGATGGTCTCCACAGTTCCGTAGCAACACCAAAATCTAATACTATTGAATTACAACATACCTTTTCTAATCTCAGCTCCAAAGGAAGGCATGAAATGGTAAGAAGTTGAAACAAAAAGCGTCAAAACACAGTTCATGTCTCACGAGATCTCTAACCGTGCTAAAGAGGCAGATTTGTCCGCCAGGTAGAAAGAGGTCTGGGAACGATAACATGTGGCGAGCACGAAGCATAACTGTTTGCGCGCAGGCAGGCAGCTCGGGAGGCGGGACTCGGAGCGACTGCGCTTGTAGCGAGAACTTGGAGAGGCTTGTCACACCCGTGGAAACAGCAGAGAACATTCCAAGTCTCTTGATCCAGCGTAATAACCATTGATACCATAGCTCTCGCGTAGGGTGATTTTCACTAGCCTGTGTACAGACCCCCCTCCCCCCTCCGCTCAGTAAAAATCGTAGAAGGAGCCCCTTCTCCGATTTTTACTGAGGGGAGGTTGGGGGGATCTGTACACAGGCCAGATTTGCTGTACTATACCTGAAAAAAATTTACACTGCGATTGCCAGGAGAAAAAGTATACCTATCATCCAGCCAGGTCCAGCATACAGTCTCCGTATTTTTAGCAAGCGAGGCGCTTATCATAAGATTTCCCAACCAGCAAATTTAGCCAATTTTTTATTTCCCAGTCAGGTCAAATTCTGCCTGAAGAGCGAGTATTTTGTCGGAGCAGCTCCGTTGGGTACTCCTGCCGAAAAGTTTTTTAAGACAATTTTACTTGCCAATAACTGGCCTATGTACCTGTATACATATGTAGTACCCCCCCGGGGGGGGGGGTTACTCCCTTATATAGGCAATATAGGTATGTGCCGCGCCAAAGGGTATGATTTTTTAGCCGTTTTGGTCTGAAATAGGATATCAATTTTGACCATTTTTGTCTGAAATAGGGTATGGTTTGTGTACTCTAGTCTTGAATTGGGTATGTTTTTTTTAGAAGCTACTTCGTCATTAGGCGATAAGACCATTTTCCTTTTAATGTTTACGCCAACCCTGTACGTGCCGTAACAGCTTGTCACGCGCTGATTGATTCAAGGGTCAGGTCTGAAATAGGGTATGACTTTTTTTATCAGGTCTGACATAGGGTAGGGAACACCACAGATTTTGGTCTGAAATAGGGTAAGGGTTTTAGGAAGCGTACCGCACTGACCCCCACCCAATTTTTCTGGAAGTACCCCTTCTCCCTTGTAGTACCAGGAGCGAGCCCATAACCTCCCAGTATGGGAGTTATGGGCTGCTGGTAGTACATCGTATTCGCTATTGTTAAGAGTACATATCTAATCAAATGATGAATGATCCTCGCAGTTGTGAATGCAATTTATGCAATTGCGTAAGAAGCCTGAAAAAAAATTCAGGACTTTTTTCACCCTTTTTTTTTTCAGGCTTCTCATACAATTACATAAATTGCGTTCACAACTGCGAGGATCATTCTTCATTTGATTTCATTTCCGCAGTTCTCATAATGATTTACTTCATATACATTTGTCACAGTACAGACTCTAGCCGGATTTTTGAAAACGCCAAATGGCTGAAATGGCCCGTTTTTTCCGTCTAACAAAGTAACCATTATAAAAACTGAGAGTGCAAACATTGCTTTTTTCTCTTGTCCTCCTTTTTTCCTCCTCGCTCTCTCTTTCTCTCCTTTACCTTTCCTTCGTTAGTGTGATTTTGGAGCTTGTGGGGCTTAAGAAAACTGCCTTTCAACGCCTTTTCACTCAAATGACTGCAATTTTCGTTAGGTTGGTTTTCAAAAAATTGGTTAGATATACGTGGTACGCAACCATATTATGTTGAAACAATACAAGGTTTTACCGAAATCCTTTTATGTAGCCACTTAATATTATGTAAGCTTGTTGAGTGACAGTTGTTAGGAAACTAAAATATTACGTGGACGGAAAAACGTACTTCAGTGAGAAAACTAAAACAAAAAAGTGCTGACCAGGAAAGGACCTGGAAATTTAAAGAAACTATAGTACATTAAACAAAAAATCGCCTATTGTAAACGCACGTAGCCTGAGAAACAGGCGCAAAAAGGGGAGGGGTAGGGGGAGGAGGAGAGTGAGAAAAGCGCAAAAGGCAAAAGGGAAAAGGAGCTTACCTTATCCTCTCTCTCCAGTTCCCCTCCCATTTCCCTTCCTCCCAATCCCCTACCCATTTCGGCGCCTGCTACGCAGGCTAAAACCAAAAGGCTAAAACGCTCGTGGCTGCTATGAGCATCTGCATGAATGGACACGCTTCACCTGAATAAATTACACAAACACAGTTGCCCAGGAATAACGTTCAGAAGCAGGTAAGATATCCACAAACGCGCTCGGCTATTCCGATTAAATAAGTGTGCTTAAAGACTTAACTAGATGGATGCGTTTAAATACTGAAAAGTTGTAAAATGTGAAGCTTAGGAAAGAGAAATACGAGTAAAAAAGAAGCTAAAAACGAGGATAAATGAGAATAAATAAGAAAAGGTTCTTAGAAGTAAAATTTCTCCCGTCACAGCGTTAATACTACTCCAGATGAAATTTTAACACTAACACAATCTTTAAAAAAGTCTTGTATATTATAAGTTTACTTATCATTTTTCTTATTTATTTTTTATCCTTAAATATTTCAATACGACAAGACTAGAAACAAGAGAGGATCTCTGGCAAAAAGAATATTGTTGAAGATTAATCTGGGGAAAAAGAGAGAGATTTTCAACGACATCCATTTCATTATAATGCCTGGAACATGCTACATGTATATAAAATTCGACAATTTTTCAGCGCAATTAAACTAACAGTGCAAACTACGTACGTATAAAAATTTGCTTGAAACGGAGACAGCAGTTTAAAGGTTAATTTCAGTCTTTCCAGTACAAACTAGTACGTATAAAAATTTGCTTGAAACGGAGACAGCAGCTTTAATAAAGGTTAACTTCAGTCTTTCCAGAATTCTCCTGTTATTCTCTCAGTCACTTCCCATTGCTTCTTTGCCAGGTCAGGATCTTTGGCAAGTTTACTACAGTCTTTGACTTTGCAGTCCATATAGTAAAGACCGGAGACATTAGCCAGCTCTTCTGCAACTGAGCAGTAGATTGTGGTTTGTGCCCCTTGCTTGCTGGTCTTGAAAAACAGGAATGTAATGATTCGTATCAGCGGTTTGGTGAAAGGATTGGTAAACAACTTCCAGTTTCGCCAAATTTCGGTTGCAACGCCACCAGGATGGAGGGCATACACAGTTACCCCGGTACCTGAGAAAAGAAGTTAACACTTTAAACCCTAGAGTGACCAACATCAATTTTCTCCTAACAATACACAATACAAAATCAAGAGAAAGGTTATGAGAATTAATTAAATGATCACCAAAAGAAATAAACGTATGAATATGATCAATGTGGAGAAATCACTGGTATGTGGGATACTGGGGTTCTGGAACCTCTAGTAAAGGATTAGAACTTGAAATACATGTACTAGGAAACTGACTAGTGGAATGGTTGTTGTTCATTGTACAGACAATGCTCAAGACTTATGGAGTGAAATAAAAAGCCACTTGACAGCTATGTGCACATTGAACTTAATCAGCTCCTGCGCCTTGAGCTTGTACATAACAAAGTGGAGTTCGTTATTCCCCATAAAGAAACCAGGTTATGGTAGTGGTTATGTGGGCCTGTGTTCCATGTGAGCTTGTACCTTTAACATCCCATGCATATGGGTGCAACACTACAGACCCAGTATAAAAAGAAGCTGTTAATCAAGCCTAAAGCCAATGTGGCAGGCTTTCAAAAGAAAGATGAAAGCCGAATTTACTAACATCAAACAAGTGTTCATGTACTTCTTTGAAACCACCGTGTAAAAACAAAACATAACTGGCAACATGATATGACCCAGAGGGTCTTAGCTATCAGATAAGGCAAGAGGCCTGTAATCACAATGACTTTGTTCCAAGGACCAATTTAGGATCGCAACTGCACCCACAAAACTATGAAAACTGAAGAGGGTGGTAAACGAGGTTCTAGTTCACATTTCACAGGCAAGAAATTGGTGTTTTCACAATTCACAAAAACAAAAAAAGCAATTCAGACTCAATGAAAATCACGGTTGACAACGAAATGAGAATCTTTTTTGCCTTTCATATCGAAAATAAATTTGCAAAAACCATGCTTCAAGGCTACTTAATGAAAATCAATGATAATCACTATTCACGGGGAAGAAAAATTGCCATTTCACATTTCAAGGGAAACAAAAAGTGTTGATCATGAGTCAAGAAAATACCCTTTACCTGCACCCTCACTGATGCAACTTAGGTGAACTCACTAGTTGTACAACAAAGATAAAAATTAAACTTAAGAATGTTACTAAACGTTTCGATGTTTCAAACATCATTATCAAGAGTCATGAAAGTCGTTAATTTTCAAAGTTGTTAAAAAAGTTGACAATTAATGGCTAAGCCATTAATTGTCAACTTTTTTTCATCCTTGATAATGATGTTCGAAACATGAAAACATGAAGTATCATGCTAGTTTAATTTTTCTTGTTAAATGCACCAACATTCAACTGACCATCGGTTCTCTTAAAGATATAATAAAATTATATTAGAGGCATAATATATGTCAACTTGGTAGTCTGAAGTATCAGCCATGTCTTTTTCCCTCGCAACCCCCGCCCCCCACCCCCAAATGGGAGAGAGGGACTGTTTAGCTCAGCAACCTATTGAGGGGGTGGGATAGGGTGAAGAGATGGCTAACACTTCAGACTAGCTAACCTGGCTACAACTCTGCCTGCACTCTACTTACATTCATATTTCTCGAGCCAGATAGAAAAATTAGTTACTAACTACTAAGTGGAGTAAATTTCCTTGTCTAAGGAAACAACGCGACTGGCAAGGCTTGAACCCCGGACCTCCAGATCCAGAGTTTGAGGTGTTAACCACTCAGCCACACACACCTCCACAATGTTTAATATTATTATAATTATACTACTATTTAGTGTGTGCTGCAGTGCTTTGACTTCCTTCCTTACCTTCTAATCTTCGGCTAAGTTCCTTTGTAAACACAACCTGAGCAAGCTTGGACTCAAAACAGCGAGTGTAGGAATTAAAAGACTCCTCTGTAGGTTTGAAATCATCCAACCGGACTTTTAAGAAAGGAAAAGTGTGAGCGTTTGTCGATACATTTACAATGCGACTTGGTGCAGACTTTTTAATTTTCTCCAGCAGCAACAAGGTCAGCAAAAAATGGCTCAGGTAGTTGACTTGAAAAATACTTTCATAACCATCCTTTGTAATCTGTAAAGGTCCAGGACCAACTCCTGCATTGTTAACAAGAATATCTACCCTCCCTTCAGTTTCATTAATTAGTTTCGCAAAGGCTCTCACAGACTCAAACGAGGCCAGGTCAAGCACCCTGACGATGACTTTATCACTTCCAGTCTTGGAAATGATGTCCTTAGCAGCTTCTGAGGCCTTCTTCTCATCTCGGCAAGCCAAGATAACCCTAGCTCCTCTCTTGGCAAAATCCAGTGCAGTCTCCTTCCCTATACCACTGTTTGAGCCTGTGATTATGGCAGTCTTCCCTAAAAAATTGAAAAGCACTTGTTTAATTATTTCAACTTCTTCATGCAGTGTCACCCCCAGGGGGTACTCCCTATAATGACCTATACTGGGAGGCTCCTCCCAAAAGAAGTACCTTTTCAGGCTTCAAATACTTGAAGGTTTTACTTGGTGAGAGTTATAAAAGAGTAGGTAAATCAGTCATTGCCGCAGTCTGTGAAAGGACCTAAAAGGGCCAACAGGTGTACTTATGGCTGTGAAAACATTCTGGTTTAGTGATCTATTCATATTCAAAAGAAGGTTCATCTATAAGAGTTAAAAGGGACCAGTGTTTTAAACTAGTATGTGAAAGGCTACCATTAATTTTTCCAATAAAAAGTATCTGAAAGGGTTATGCCCTTTCATTGAAAAATGGCATATAAAAGGGTAAGAGGTTGGACCTTGGGGCAGAGCCATCCTGCGCAAAATTTTGCTGAGTACTGTCACCCCCACACAACCATTGGTTACTGCTAGTTTTTTTTAAAAACCAATGGTTGTGTCGGGGTGACACCCCCATGGGGGGTACTCAGCAACAACCCCCTACCATTTTTTTTACATGTTATAATTTAAAATATTAAATTAATAAAAATAAATAACCATGAGTGCTTTTTGATGAGAAGGTGGAGCGGTGTTATTCAAGGGTCATGCTTACTTCAGTAAACACTGTACTTCTGTTGAAAAATGGTATCCCTTTTACATACCTTTTCTAATCCCTTAGAATGAAGTTAATGAAAGATTTTACCCCTGAATTAAAATGATACACCCAAATTCAAAAATAGTTCAGTTGACGTATGGTCCATTTAAACATATCAGTAGTGGACTTTGCAGCCCTTTCATAAACATACTTCAACTCATAAAATCCCTAACCCTTTCCATATAGTGAAAGCTGTAAAAGGTACCCTCTTTACATCCTTTTGGACGAAGCAATATTGTCCCTGAAGGTTTGGAACACTTGATACATACATACATTCATTGTTTTGTTTTTTTTAATTCTTACCATCTAGCCGAGCATTGCTCTTGCACACTCCGCCACCACAATAATACTTTATGAGTGCTAGCACACAAATGAATGCTACCAGGCCAGCTAACAAGGTTACACTAGTACTTTGGCCGGCAACATTACCACCTATAAAATGGCAAAGACAACAATTACAATGTAATTATTTACAGAAAATGAAATACACATTTGTCAGTCCTAAGCTGTTACATATTTATACACATTAATCCTTATTTATGAAGTGGAAAGAGCAAAGAGGAAATTTAAAAAAAGAGAAATGAAGTAGAACAAAATGAACATTGAATCCTAAGCAAGAAAAGGAGAAATGGTATAATATTATAAGAAATGCATCACTCAATTCAAGTAGTGTCCATACCCTGCTCTAACCCTGACCAATGGTAAAGCATTTTAATTGTGGAGGTGAAGCATTTAGATTTTATCATTATCCAGGGACCAGACATTTGACTACCTCCAGGATAATCTCAGAGTATTTTGTACTATTCAGTAGTCATACAGTTTGAAAATGTTTGAAGACACCTATGATCTTTATCAAAATTCAAGAAAATTGAGCCAGAAAAAAATTTCAAAACTTCTTGACATGTCATTTCAGTGCTCATCATGCATGCAGGATAGAATACAGAGATGCATCTTATAAATCTACAACAACTAATGGATTCAAATTTCAAACATTCAATTAATTACTTACTGGAATTTTGAGGGGGGCAGGGGGGATTACGTTTGGCTTGGCTAGACTCCAAACAAGCCTGCTAATGCAGACGTACTCTAAACAGGCATAATTCAATAAATAATCAGTGACCCTTTAAAATGTTTCAGCAAATTTTAAGCAGTATTGGATTCTTGATGAGCTGAAGAGCTGCAGCTATTCACCAGCCCTGGGACACTTGACCCACATACTCGAAATTTGTTACTGTTTTTTTTTGCCATTAACTCGATGCTTAAGGGTTGGCACAAGTGCAGGGCGTATAAACGGCTCCAGCTACTGAGATTGGTGAACAACTCAGTCATCATGCAATTAAATATATCAAAATGTACGGGTATGCTGTAGCTTAGATCATACTGTATTTACAATTTCTTTTATCTACGGGGCTAAGAATCTTTATCTTTAGGGGAAAAAAGGTCAAAAAGACTTCAGAATTGGCGGGCTATGTAGTAGCTGGGGGTTAATAGGGGCTTAATGACCTGTTATTCACCTTTCGACACATATGCCACACCCATCTGTGTTTAAAGGCTTTGTTCTCTAATACTATCGGTCAATTTCAAAAGAATAAAAGACGAACAAACAAACCTTTGTCTATGTCATCTCCTAACAGAGGTCTGAAACAACAACAGAACGTGATTAAAACGTTGATCGAGTAAGTCGCTGCGACCGCCATGTTCTTTTGAGCCCAATGAAGCTCAGAGGACTGGGGACCAATCACGCGTGTTAAGTTACGCGCACGTTTGCGCACGCTGGGTATGAGAATGTTAGGAACGCAGCAAGGGGCACGGAGCACGGAATACGGAGCAGGAGCGAGACTGTACTCACACGGTGCTGTATACGTTTCGGTTCATATTAAGGGAGCGAACAATACACAGGTTTTCAAAAAGATTCATTGCAAACTTGCTACCCACACACACACACACACCAAATGCTTTATTTGCATGACCATAAAAGAATTACAGTATTGCAAAAGCTATTAGTCTAAATTTAAGTACTAATTCAACTAATTAGTACGTGCAAAACATTACAAAACGTTACAGTTCTCATTGATCCATTCATTGATTTTAATTTGGTTCTTAATTCAAAGCATTGCGAGATAAATGAAAGTAATTGACAGTTAATAAAATAATCAGAAGAATTCATAAGAAGAGATATTAAAGTATCGTGTGAAAGTGATTTGAAGTCAGGTATTTTAGTTTCTAGTTTGGAGAAAAAAAAGTCTCTGATCTGAGAATAAGCCTTACAATCTAGTAAGAAATGATTTTCATCTTCGATTTTGTTACTCGTACAAAAGTGACATATCCTTTCATTGCGAGGGATGTTTTCGTATCTCACACGCCTGTTTCAATTCTAAGTTGATGACTACTTATTCTAAATCTAACTAATACTTTTCTCGAAGGGTTTTTTCTTGTTAAAGCTAGGTACGGCGAGGGGCTATAGTCGTCTTTGATTGTACAATAAAAACTGAGTTTTTGTGATTGTTGAAGGGTTTGACTCCAGTAAGAGACGTATTTATTTTTCATTATGCCGATATACCTATTAAATATTGAGTCACTCAATGAATTACAGGAAAAGTCATAGTTTAGATCATAGTAGTCAACCCAGTATTTCATAAAAAAAACCATCCATCCATCCACTGATACATAAGTTGTCTTTCGACGTCTTATGCCCCGCCGTGCAAACGGACGCAACATTGTTGGCCAACAACTCCCATCACTGTTGGATGTTACATTTTGCGTCCGTTTGCACACCCTGTTGCATGTTGTTGGATGTTGTTGCGTGTTGTTGCGCAAAGTTTGAAACCAGTCAAACTTTTCAGCCAACAACTCGCAACATTTCTTTTGTTCCGTGATCGCCGAAGCGTAGCGCAACAATGTTGGATCCGTTTGCACAGCTCTTCCAACACTGTTGGGGCCACGCACGCTCATTATGCAAGGTTTACAAAGACTTATGGGTTGATCCTTCCCACGATGAACTGCAGGTTCCAACATTGTTGGGAGTTGTTGCATCTGTTTGCACACCGCTGCCAACACGCACGAAACAAATCCCAACATTGTTGGTGCAACAATGTTGGAAGTTGTTGCGTTCGTTTGCACGCAGCCTTATGATACATGGTTCAATTTTACTTGTAACCATTCCCCCCGGGGCACACCCCCGGGGATTTGTAATTTTTTTTTTCTTGGAGGCCTATTCCCCACCCCCGCGCACGCGGAAAGAAACAATTCCCCACCACCGAGCTCCTGATCGACCTCATATACATTTTTTGCTACATCTTTTTTATCTGTACAAAAGCGAAACGACACGTTTTCACAACTTTTATGAACGTTTTCCTGAGTTTACTGAGAGAAGGATTGGGGATGCCATAATGTAGTTAAAACATAAACAATAAATTTAAAAAAGAAAACGAAGGAGAAAAACTCGTTAAAAAGCGTCTCCTTTACAGAACACTTCATGAGAACACTGAACCGAATCTCTGTTTCGCTATACATATCAAAAGCCTTGTATTCGTTTTCGTATAAAAACTTATAATTATTTAAATCTAAGCTGAAGAAATGTTTCTGTCCTTCTGGATCTCAACAATCTTTCTTGACAAAGGCGGCCATTCGCATTGTCGAACGATGGAAGAAAAGTATGGGCTACCGTTTTGAGAACCAGAAATTTTGCTACCATGGCAACGTGACGTAACGACTTCTCCTCTCTAATAAGTTTAGAGCTTGTTGGGCGCTAGCGCGCGTTGAGTTTGGCTTTGTGCGGCTTGATATTTCATTCCTCCGCCTAAACCTGAGATAGGACTTCAGTATCCTTATTGCTACCATGGATGCACAGAACTGAGACAAACCATTTGATATTGTGTCAGGTTGTTTTGTTGTTGTTTGTTTCCTTCCGTAAGACAGAGAAAAGAATGCAGTCCTGTGAAGGGAAATTAAAGATAGTTACACGCCTAAGCGAACTGTGCACTGAGAGAGCTATGGAGAAAAAACTTTCAACAGAAGCTCTTCTAGGCCTTCCATACGAGGTTCTCCGAGCTTTATTCGGTAATTCACCAGGAAGTAGGAGCAGTATTATTGTTATCAACGATTCACCATTGCAAGTGGGCGAAAACGTGATCAATGGCGTTATATGCGGCTTTCATGTTCTGAGCAGAAAATTTTTATTTGGTGAATATGAAACAGCTGTGTTTATGGAACCGCTAGAGAATGTAACTTGGAAATTCTCAGTTCATGTAACAGGAATTGTAATGTATATTCAAGACTTTCTCCGCGATCAAGCTCGTGATGTTTGTAGTAAAGAAAGTGTTTTTTCAAGTCTAGAATGTATGGGGCTGGAAAATAGAAAGTGGATAGGAGAAGTCTTATACCAAGAAATAGCGCGATGGATTTTTAAGTACAACTGCTACTTTGCTTTCAAGTTATCTGACGAATTTATAAAACTAACCCAGAAGGACACGAGAAAATTAAAGATGGCGATTTTTTAAGACAGAATCTCGCCTCAGCATTTAATTCAGAAGAAGAGAATGAAAAATTGCTCTACTTGTTCTATCGTTTTATTACACTAAAACATATTATGAAGCGGACGTTTGCATCAATTATCCACAATAACTAGATGATATGATTGGCTAGGTTTCATTTTGAACACTGTGAAACCAAGGAAACAATGGAGACCGCATAATATTTTATTCACATAGTTATGGAAGACAGGCTTTTTAAACTGTTTCTTTTAGTCTATGTTTACACGATTTAATCACACGATACCGAATAGGTCTTGCGCATGCGCCGTCACGAAAATCATAACTGATAGGGATTCTGTTCACAAACAAGAACAGTGAAATTCACATATCCCAAGGGCAGGTCTCTGGGGGTTTCCCTCTCTACTGTCCCATTATTCTCTCTTGTAGATAACAGCTGTTGCAGCCAAGATTACTTTATAGTTTAAACTTGGTAATAGCTTAAAGTTTTGTTGCCCATATCCATAGTCAGCAATCATTTTACTCATGCACGATGGCTTTCCTATTTTCTTTCCCCAAGAAACAAAGTCAAGTGAAACTGTAATTTAATGTTAATCTATTTCATGTGTTGCCAAATGTTATTACTTTGGAAATTGGATTAGAGCCGGGGACGTTCTTCTTGAAAATATTTTATTTGAAAAGGAATGAATTTCCTTTGGAGTGTGTTATTCAGGCTTATTCCATTTACGTATACCTTAATCAGTTCCCGTTATCAGTACCGCTTTAACTACCTGATTTCCACACACGTTGTTTCCAGTTGGTTTGTGTTACTACACTTGCTTGACTTGCTTTGGCGCTTTCTCCTTTCCCTCCTTTGTCTCCTTTTCTTTCTATTGTAAAAATGACAACTGTAGATAGTCTTCATTAGCTTTCTAAAGATCGCTGAACGAACCATTTGAAACCAATTTTGAGTTTAATCAGGGTCACCCATTGAGAATATAGTTTAAACCTCTTAAACATAGCATTGTTGACCGTATTTTAGTAATTAAACGGTAGATATAGGCATATTTTCCCCGAAATATTATTCCCGAAAACTCATCGTCGGATTTCCTAGCTAAAAGTATAGTGATCCAAAAATTATAGGGATCAAAAGTTGCCTTTTCAAAAATTTCAGCCAGAAAAAAGGCTTCCGAAAATTCTAGGTGACCTTTTTAGGGTAAAAATCCGTTAAAAATGGGGAATTATACCATTTTTTAGATGTTCGAAAATCCTAGCAGAGGCAGGCAAGCAAGAAATTTTACATCAAAGGTTCCAAAAATTCTAGATCTCAAATCGTCATCGGAACAGATATTTTCCGAAAATTGACGTTGGGTGCCCCTGTTTAATTAAGAGAAGTTTAAAAACCTTTGAAAGTTTTTTTCTGATAAACTTGAAATTACTGTCCTTGATGATGTAACACTATGACAACTGTAGACAGTTTCTACTGATGTTGTTACCAGAGTAGATCACTGATTGAATCATTCAAAATTAAACTCACAGACTCAATTGATGTTTATCATTTTGTAACTAATTTTGGGTTATTTTTATTTAGATCGAGTACAACTGGAGTTTAAAGCTAATCAAGACCGAGAGAAAATAAAAGGATCAATTCTCTATAATAAACTTTTTCGGAGTGATCTCATAAGTAGAAATGTATCTTCTCTGTTCCAGATCTGTTTCACTTCAGTGACCTTCTTAGCCTCCATCTATTGATATAATATTCTGTTGAAACAATGGAAACGGTGCCTTAATTTCCATGTACTTAGTCAGCTTTCTTGAGTGAGACCCCACTGATACCTAGGTTAATCAGATGCAAGAAATGCATCGGATGTGCATAATGATGTAATTTAAAAATGATTTGAAAGCGCCTCATTGAATATAAATAACTATGCTGGTTGGTGCTTGAGCGTGAGATTGTATTTTGCTATCTTAGGTGTTGGTAAGAGAAGTTTGTGGTGCGCTGGTTTTACTGATCCGCCCAAACCATCCGGGTGGTGTCGCAAATATATAGGGAACGGAACAATAGAAGAGGCGTCAGCCAATCAGAAAATACTGACGACACTGTAACTGATAAAACTGATTGGACAATACCGATTCTTTTATCTTTAATTGGTTTGTTCGTTGTTGTG